CACATTGAAACACGTTTTAGGGCTTACAATTGAACGGAGGTCTACTTTGCCATATCCATTATGAGGCCTTTAAAAGTGAATTAAATTCATTCCTTTAAAATATACGAAGTAAATAATCGATAAGTAATTAGAAACTTATCCATCCCAGACTCATACTTCTCCAAAAATTAAATCATATGAGGGAAAGTCTTAATCCATTAGAATTCAGAACATTATGCATTCTTTGTCGCTAACACAATGGCAAAACCTTTTTGATCATCATTACATGGAGTAGTTTAGTGAAATGGACCATCCCTTTGAGTGGTTTGCAATGATAATCAGATAAATGTCATGCGCGATTGTAACAGTAACGGAAAACCCCAGGACCCCTCTTAAGTAAGAATAATGGCCTCTAATCGGGAGGGTGAAGGGTTCAAAACCAGCTGTTAGGGTGTGTTGTCAAACGTCAAACCCGATCCGGGCGACGCGTGTGGCCAGTGATCCTTAAACAAATACTGTACATTGATTAATCACAATCATTGACGTCAAAGAAATGTTGTATTTGTGGGTTCCACTCATACGGACAATTCTCTATGGAACCTAAAAAATCCTAAATTATTGAACCTTTAAAAGTGTTACCATGAAACCCCTATATGAAAACCAAGTCATGGCTAGTCTTTTTGCGATCGATTATATTTTATGTATTTGAAATTATTGTGAGATTTTGTAGCCTATTAGGAAGTTAAGTTCAACTTTACTTTACTAACCTTACTCAGTACAACATTTCTTTTTAGTATTTTCTAGTAACGAGAAAATATTACTTTCTTTATTTTCCGACCAATTGAGTTTTCAATTGTTCAACAGATTGGTTTATCCCGAAGTATTATAGTGAATCTTAGCGTTTATTAACGAAAATCACCCTAATGGTAATTCCGAGCAAAGTATGGGTCAAATTCAAATGTTCTCATATTACCGTTGATTGTTCTTTTGGTTAGTATTAACTGAAAAATGCAAGAATTTTTGCCGGAAAGCAAGTATTCGGAGCAGGTGACTATTTGAAGGTCAAAGGCCGTTCCACGTTGTCATTCAATATCAGCCGCTACAAATCAGTTAGGTTAGGTTAGGTTAGGTTTGGTTTGGTTAGGTTGTAATAATTTATTGCCTGCCATGGTCTTTCTGAATAATTAGTTGATACATACAACATATGTTTTATTCTTTATTTAAAATATTGTAAATATTGTCATTGTTCCCTTTGTTAAATACAGATCAGTTTATTAATCGTCTTTTAAGTCTTGTCTTTGATATTTTTAACATTTAGCAGTATTTAAAACACAAATCTTTTTGCCGGAAACATAAAATAACTGACTAAACTAACCTAAGCTCTGAATACTTGCCTTCCGGCAAAAAATTCTTGCATTTTCCAGTTACTACTAACCAACCGAACATTCAACGGTAATATGAGAAAAATTGAAGTTGACCCATACTTGGCTCAGAATTACCAACCTAATGAGTTTATAAGTCATAGTATCGTTGTTCTTCGGTCTACTGTTTCCTTTCTCCGTAAAAGACAGTGTTTAATTATCAGTCCAACCACGTTAAACTTGTAGACTTTTAAACTTAGATGTAACTGCACTGACAAAGTAAACTTTTGAGTGAAAATTCATCTCACCTATTTGGAGATTCCTTTGAAAAATTACTGATTGCACTTTTTGTACGTATTTTATTGACACGAACTTTGAAGTCATAATAGTCTGTTGTGCAATCAAGCTCCATAGACCATTTTAACATTCAGAGCTATAACACGGATTCATATAAAATAAGAAAAATCCCCGATAACTGGATTTAAAATACAGAAAATTTTATTCAATCAGAGTTAGTATTTTAAGAGGGTTGGAATGGATTTTGAAACATTTAGCATCAAACAGATCTGATTTTCATCGCAAATTGATTTTTATTCCAATATTTGATGGGCTAGATCACCATGAAGATCGAGCAGTCACTCATTATAACACAATGAAACGATTAAACTGCCGTTAACAACGACGGTTTAATTTACTGATAGGCCGATACAACTACCATTTCCAATAGGAAGGTTTCATTTTAAATCATTAGTACATTCCTCCATTGTGAGTAAAGCATTGAATAATATAACACTATTTCCTGACAATTGTCAGATTTATTCCCTATTTAAATAAAATTAGATTGGTACTTTCGTATTATACGGAGGCCACTTACTTTACAGCGCGCTGCGGCGGTTAGATTAGGTTGGGTTATCATAAATATATTTGTAGGACTTTTCTCGTTTCGTTATGAATCGAACTATATACCAGATGAGTCATAAAGAAATTATGATAACCAAACCTAACCTAACCGCCGCAGCGGGTATATGGGTAGCCTCCGTATACGAAAGTACCATTAGATTTAACGAGTACGTAGGTTTGCTGCTCAGGGAAGTAAAACGTGTTTTCGGTACGATACATATATAAAATCTTTATCGAATAGGGGTTTTGACCTCTGGGGACATCAAAATAAAAAATTAAATTGGTGCCGGGTCTAAGTCTTACCGTAGTAGCAACTGCCCCATAGAGAAATTCGCTAAATATCTTAAATGACTGCCGTAGTTTCCGATTAGCCTGTTGCAGCGAGAAAACTGTCACCAATTCAGGGGTGAAATCCAAGTTGATGTTTTGCATACGATGTTCAATTACTTCTTTGGAAAAGTATTGTATCTCTATCCTCAATGTAAACCACTGTTAACCGTCCCTGAATCCATTCCAACACACTAAATGACGCTTGTCAACTTTTTATTTGATCTAATAGCTATTTAAATACCTTAAATACCTTAAAAACCCAAATTTGTTCGCTTTTACATTTCGGAACTTGTCACTACACTTATTTAATTTTTAATATTTAAAAATATTAATAAAAAATGTGACCATTCTATGAGAGTAGATTTAGTTTGTTAAAGGAAAATAGATTAAATTATGTAACTCCTATATAATATTAAAATTAAATCAAATAATTTTGTGTTTATTCAAAACGAAAGGCAGGACAGGACGTATATTAATAGTCTAGTTGTTAAAATCTGAATATGTGAATTTAAGTAACACAGCAGCATTAGCAATATAAAATATGTTAAGAAACGTGATCAAGATATTTGTTTAAAATGGAAATACTGCAAACATTTGAATTGAGTCAGTTATGCTTTTACAGTCTATTGTTTGCGCTTGAAACAAACACTACTGTATTTTATTTGTAACCATGACGATAATTAATGACCAGAACAATTTCAAACAGTTTTGTAGTTTTGTTTATGAACGACATTTAAGGGGATTAGTATTAAAATTTTAATGTAAAAAATATATTTGTTTATAGCTAAAATAATATTATGCAGAGAAATACCCTTAAACATGAATCAAACTAGCTAATTTCTAATTTAAATATTCCAATCTAGTTAAAATATGCCTAATGCAAACTATATCCTTTATAATTGTTTTTACGATTGAAATTAAATAAATAATCCAACGATAAATCAATAATCGAATGTAGTTTGTAATAAACGTAGAAGAAAATATATCGAAATGTATTCTCAACGTTTTCGCGGAAATACTTTTTTTCTATTTACACAAATAACAAAAACGAAAACTGAACTCTTGTATTCTTATCGTTTCGAAAGATGCATTTGTATCAACTGGTCAGCAGTGTGACCACTGATTAAGTAAATAATTGATAAAGAAAACACAATTATACTAGGTTAACCAAGCACAATTAAAAGTAGTTGATTTATATTAAATAGCAAGAGTTTCGTTATTTCACCGACTAGCTTGCATTATTTAATTAGACAATTTTAACCCCTTTATTAACATCAAGTATAGGCCTAATTCGCTAAAAGTTGCAAAATAATTTTAACTTGAGTATGGATTTGTTAATCATCTTGTTGACATTTTGGAATTCTTTTTAAGAGCAGAAGTTTAGTCTGTTTAGATCTATTTAGTATTAGAATGTGCAGTTCTGTCTTGCATTGTATCATTATTTATTCTGTGTGTGTTTTTAATTGAATTACATTGTTCTTTTTGACTGTATGTTTGCAACTTGTAGGCCTAGGCCTAATAGTAAAAGATGTTGGGGGGACGATCTGGTCTAATGGTTAGCGCACGGGACTTCGGTCCAATAGGTCCGCGGTTCAAATCCCATCAAATCACCAATGGATTTTATCCAAGTGATAATGCCGCAACCCCTAGGTCTAGCCTAAAGTAATGTGAAAAACCACATCCACAACATTGTATCCATTCTTTTAAACTGGTGTAAACCGTTGGGAAATAAATAAAATAAAATAAAATAAACAATCCCGGGCTCGTGCCTAGCGTCCTAAGACAAAATAGTAAAAGATGTTTTGATCAAAATGCATTGAACTTTTGTCGGCCTTTAAACTAGTATTTCTTTTTGGAATTAAATTGAAGAGAAATAATTAAATTCCATAAAAGATTGAACACTTTAAAACTTATGGTCAAGTGCCATCTAATCCAATTTTCAAAAGGTATATACACTTGAATAAATTAATACAAATTTCATTAACAATTAGACATTAGAAAAATATAGTTTTTTCAACGTTTAATGTGGCAAGTAGTCTTCTTATCTTAGAGTAAAATCTAAAGCTTTTTTGGCGTGAGTTAAGTATACGGGGAGTTAAGTATACGAGTGTGATGATACCCAGTTTTAGTTTTACGCTGTTTCCTCGTTTATTAGGGTGTATTATTTCAGAGTGTGTTTTATTCTTTAATCACACAGTATATACCAGGGATTATTTACAAAAATATTTATTTAATTTCTTCAAAACCATCTTTATTTAGTAAAATAACCTATAAGAAAAATTCATCAATGCTCTCTTACGTTACCGGTCAAACATGCGTTAAAATTATTTTTACCTAATAAGGATGGTTAATCCTTAAGGCAGTATGTTTACCCGATGAATATTTTTATAACGTAGTTACTGTAATAGTAGTACTAAAATATACATTTACCAGTGAAATTGTCGGAAGAATCCAAATGGGAGGCATCGATCTTCAGATGGTAGGCAGTCGGTGTGGACTCTCCAGACATCAATTGGGAGCGAAGGGATTGAACCGTGAGCGCGAGGACCAAGAACCACCCGGACGACCGCATGGTAGACGACTGACTGAGCTCTCACTGTTGGCTTGGAGGTGGCGGAGCCCCCATGACTCACCACACTGGCGCTCCACACAATAGAGTCCACTATCATCCCTATCTTACACAATTATGCTGCATAGAGCGATATTTGATCTACTCGTTTGGGTTCACATTCCAAAATATTTGGAAATCGAGAAGCACTTATCCGAATACGCGGTGATTGTGGATAATGATAATGAGTGGAGGTAATTTGAGTACAGCATTAATCCGAATAGCATCAATACGTCATTTGCTTAACGGATTTTCAGTAGATGATATTGACAATTACAAAAACTTATTTAGAAATGCGCTTTGAATATTTTGCATAATTTACTTTCCTTCATTTTACCGTTTGCGAAATTCAGAATGAGTTTAAGCTTCAAGAGGTACCTAAACTGTCTTCCTTTTTAGGATTTTTATCTTAATAAATTTTTTTCCTCCGGACTTTCATTTATCATCCATTGACTTTGACCCCCGATTTTTCTGGTTTAATAATATATTGACATTCTCGTCTTATGTTTACTTTACTTACTGCAGAAGTGCCTAATAAGTAACTATATTGTATATTAGAAGGTTAATAGCTCGGTGAGTCTAGTGAAAAGTGCTTGAGAAACGTAATTAAAAAGGATTTTAATCTTATTTTCGATTTTAAAAATATTTCAGTATTGTGACCATTGCAGCTGTCGGCTCCTCTTTAACTGCTTGAAAACTTAAAATTTCAACAATCACATATAGCTCAGAGGTAAGATAAGTTGAAGGCGTCTGGTTCAAAACCCGTCTGGTGAAAAAAATATAGCTTTTTTTCAAAATTGGTATAATATGAACCCCCAACACCAACGCACCATATCATAGAAGTTACTATGTTTATGAATGTTTGTGTGCCATTTTGGGTTCCCTACTATTTTGAGGGTATCAACAAAATACTAAACTAATAAGTGTGCTTTTTAGACTAAATCTTTATTATTTTGTGTTTTTATTTATGATATCCTGACGGGATATCCCAGGGAACAGGATTCAGGCGGACATAGGGATATCCCAGGGAGAGTTCCCCAGGAAACTCTGAAGACTTTGAGGGATATACAGAGGATATCCCCCATATCCCACTGGGATATCCCCACGACATTCCAAGGATATTTTTGTGTTGTGTGGGAAATTATTATGAAAACTCAACCAAATCTTCAATACATCAATACATGCATCAGTTTAACCTCAAATAGGTATTTCCATGTCCCACGTAAAATGCCTTAAGGCGAAGCCATCAAACGATATGGAATTGCAACAATGGCCTAACGTGACAAAAATATGAAAGTTCATAATTAATTCAGTCAACTGTACAACAATTTTATAAAGATATTGCTAAAACTTTTACTCCACACTATTTTGACGAACTTTCCGCGCAAGGATTTAGTCCCGAAAACAGCTGTTTGCTGCCAGCTTATTAATCAAATGGGGTTTTATTACGTACTACTGTACTGTAATGAGTTTTACCGGACACCAATCAGCTGATTATACTGTGCTGTATTTGGGTGTCAATGAGTGGCTATAAACGAAAACATAACCTCTCTTAAGAGGTTATGATTGGTGATTTTAGTCCTTTAGTTGGTGGTAATATATAAGGATCTGTACAGATTTAGTAGTATGGCGTAAACTATCGTACGAAACCCCTCCAAAATGTGTTTACCGGACTCGTATGGTAATCCCGTACTCGACTTTGTCTCGAACGGGAACGACCACACTCGTCCGGTAAACATATATTTTCAGGACTGGTAACATTTACTATTTCGTTCGAGTAACAACAATCTACTTTTTACTTTTACTTTTTGAACAATACACCTATTTTTAAGGGAAATTGTCAGACAATGGCTGTGTAAAAAATGTTTATATACAAAATTGTAACATCTTCCATGAAACAGGTCACAACTGCATATGAATCATAGACGACCTTTGACTTACACTCTTATGAGTCACCTCCGGACGGACTAAAACTTCGGAGTCAAACAATGTTGAGTTCCTTTATTGAAAAGGTTCCTAGAAGAACAAACAGTAAACTATTTCTACTCTAATTTAGACCTTTAGAACTTTTATCGAAACACTTTTTTCCGTTAGTTTATTGCGTCTATATCATTTGCACCGTTGAAGTTTTAAGGGGTGTCCTGGTTTCCACCCTAAGCAAACCTAATCCAATTCAACCTAAAATAACTTATCGGAAAATGTCCTTATCGAATTGCTCATTTAAGGAAATCTTTGACGCATTCTTGCATTACCAATCTGGCCCTAATTAAAATTACACTTTTAAAAATTCTCTAAAAAAAACAAACAAACAAACAAAAAAAAGACATAAACTAAATTTGTTTAATTTTTATCGCAAGACATGGGGCCCGAAATCTACAATAAACTGACTCAAAAAAGATCGACTCTTCAACAACATCTAGAACTTATTATTTAAATAGCTATTGGTGAAGGCATTTAACTGTAAATTTTTTTAAAAACACAATAATATATTTCAAAAGGGCATTTTACTATTATAATTTGTATTTTGATAATGATTAATGCTATGGCTTTTACTTGATATAAAGTTTGAGATATGTTGATTCCAAGAAGTATCACCTAACCACTTATAAATTTTATTGATGTTTTAAATTGAATAACAATATAAGAGATTTTCTTCCCTGTTATGTACCATACTTACTTAGTAGAGTACAAAGAGTGGGGGATTTTCGTTTTTTTAATCCATGCGCAATCATAATAGTAGGGTACTGTAAATCGTTAAAGATCGAGGCTGTATTATTTTGCCATCAGTTTTTCCATGTTTTAAATTTTTTTACTGTAAATGTAACGAGTAACAGATTAAAATGAACGAACGAATGAAATAATTGAACATCCCCCAATCATTGAAATTATAGTTATAGTTGCCCTTTATATAAAATAATATTATGTAAGTATGAATTACAAGTGCGTATGCATTAAACAAATACCCCGCCGCAACAAACCTGCAGACTAAGCGAATTTCCATTCGCCTGATTGGATTTACACTAAAATGTCTACTTCAAAATATAAAATTTTATTCCCTACTTAAATAGAATTAGTTTAACAAGTACTTAGGTTTACTGCATCTGGGAGCGTAAGTGTTTTTTTTTTTTTTTTTTTTTTTTTGTAAAATGTTAACAGTTAATAAGAAATAAAAACATTTTCCAAATTTGATCAAAATATGTTCATAAACAAGCAAACTACTACAGTTTACTTATTCTCCATAAGGATAACATGGTAATTTAAAAATTTAAAATTTTTTGGAATTTTCTCCGTAACAATTAGGCGCATAATAACGCTTCAATATACTTAATTATTTTTCTTTTAAGCTCTACAAAATGGATTGGAAAGAAATCCTTCAATTTTATGTTTTTTGGGTCAAAAATGGGAAACATTTATTTTTACCCCATAAAACCCCGTTCCCATAGTCCGATCATGCTGGTTCGCGAACTCGTTCGAATAAATGTGGGTTTACACATTTATACCAAATTTTATCAAAATCGGATCATTTTTGCTCCAGTTATCGTGCTAACGGACACATATATATGAATTTGAACGGATGGTGTTTTTGGCCTCTAGGGACCTCAAAACGAAAAAAAATCTGTCCCGCGCCCAGGTCTTACCATGAGTACTATGGTAAAAATACAACTTATTTATAAAATTAAAATACAATTGCCTTTTAACAATTTAAGCTAATGTTCATCTTATTTATCTGATTCCTGCTTTTACTATCCTACTTTATTTGTGGGTGTTTCATGTTAGTGAATGATAACATTGATAAGTGTGATGATATCGACTATATGGTTTTTATATTGTTTTAATTACTAAACATTTACGCAAACGATTTAATAACCAAAATACGAAATTGCTAAACATTAGTTGTTTACCTTGCAGAATAAAACTACGATGCCAAATGAAAATTGCAATCTCCAACTGGATTAATGATTTATTTTGTTAATTTACTTTTATTGAGTTGATGAAGATAATTTAATAGGCAACGCAGGCCAGATTTTTTTGATTTGTACTTAATGTCGAATTTATTGCACTCTGTCTAAACTGTTTGAAAATAAGAACGACATTTGTTTCAACTTTGATGGTTATATCATATTAAAACTTATCTTTAATTTTATTTTATTGACCGTTACAACTTATAAGCTATCTTTTTACTGTTTTGTGTGTATATTTCAATAAAAAAATAGGCAATGTGTTTATTAATATTTTGACTTCGTATAATACAAAAATTATTGTGAGGTCCAATAATTGATACTCAGAAAATTTTGAAGGTTTTAGGAAATTTTTCCTATAGGAAGTAGATATTTAACTACAAAATTGTATATTTACTAAACCTAAGGTAGTTTGTGACATGCATTTAAGCAACTAATAAAAGATTTTTATAAATAAAAATGCTGTTTCACCTATGGTATACATTTTAAACTAAATAAACAATAACATTCCAAACACCCTTTCTTTCCAAAGAAAAACACCCTTAACCAGTTTTACTTACAAGAGCTTTCAAGTCGTACAAAACTTGTAAGGGATTTACAAGGCGTACAAGGTAAGTGGCTTATCATGATACATAAACTCTAAAATTTCAAAGAAAAAAAATGTACCAAAAGATTGCAAAAGTGAACGTAAAAGTAAAGTAAAAGTTTTTTTTTCTACTACTGCATGGAAATTATCACATTGCCATACCTTTAAACAGTTCGCAAAATAGCTCATAGCCACTCTAGAGCGGGAATGGATAATTCCCGCTCAATAAATCAGCTGATTTCAAATTTGTCGTTTTTACACCAGTCACAGCGGCGGAACAGGTACGTTTAACAACTGGTAAGCAAATTATATAACCTTATAAAAGCAAACATAACTTAAATTGCATTTTATATACATCTAAAAAGTTAATCTGTGTGTTACTATATGTTAATTATGGTGGTAAAAAATAGTGTTTG